AATCCTAAATTATATTGTACTAACATACTCTCCAACCATACACATTGGAAGAATTTAACAAAGAAAGCTTACATTGTGAATACACCTCTTTGGAGTTGTCATTAGTTTATTTGAAATGTAAATGAAACATATATACAAGTAAACATTAAATACACAAGAGTGCAGAAGTTAAACTATTGCAATAATACAGTGGTGAGAAACTAAGCACAACCTTAAGGAATATCTGGGCTGTGCATGTGCTCAAGAAAAAGCCCATTATTGAGATGCATCATCTCGTTTGAGATACATATGGGCTAGAAATGCATAAGATGATTCAGAGTGGTTGAGTAGAAATAAGCAAACACCAAATGTAGCTCATGTATGAATCCAAGGTCTTATGTCCAGGTCTCCTCCTCAGTCAGATTAAGATAAAAAAAACACTCAATTCAAGCAATTATTACCTCTTATTTTTCATTTTTTGCAGTGTGTTAAAGTGTATCTATAGAAACTGAAGGATTTACGAAGATAAAAAGTTCAGGATGACAAGGGACACTAAAATCCCCACAAAACCTGACCTTTATGAAAGCTCTAAGTTCTCTGTCAGCTGAGGTCGAGCTGTTTTAATTTACATCGAGTTCATTGTTTTTTTTTTGGATAGCCCACGTGAATTTAGTGGTGGGACAGCTATAAACTATTAATCCAGATATTATTATAGATCCATAGTGTGCCCCAAGGCAGCTGTGGCTACAGTAGTAGTTTATCCCCACTGTCTCCATAAAAGCACTGTATAAAACTGATTATTATTGTTACCATTATAATTATTATCATTTTTAGAGTTGTTCCTCGCCGATGCAGGAGGGGTTCAGGACAGTGGTGATGATCCAGGAAATATACAACAACATTTATGGACATTGGTACTTATGCAGCTCGCGGAAATTCAATTTAGAAGACGTCAGCCAAAAGCTACCCCCTCCAGGCCAGCTCGCATCCCCAGCCTATCACACAGCAAACGCCCCCTTCCAATCATCCGTGCCGGCCAGGCAGCCGCTTAAAAGCGGAGAAACTCCCACTTCACGGCCTTCTCGAAGCCTCGCAACCACCGCCTCCCCTCCTCCTCCTCTTCACCCTGCCTCCAATCTGCCTCCAATCTGCTTCCTGCTGCCAAAATGCCGCCACCAGTGCCTAGGTCCCGGGGGATTGTGCGCGCTCTATCGCAGGAGCCTCTCCGACTGAAGGCCGCACCGGGGCCTAGGGCGCCAAACCACCTCTCATTAAAATACTCAAAAGCATTCTCGCTTTCTCGTCTCTCCAAATTGAATTGGCCCTATGTGTTTTTTCTATCATTGCATTTCTTGAGTTTGAACTGTTTAATTCTCTGATCTGTATTTGTGAATTCAAGGGTTTTGTAAAGTTCTTAGAGATAAATACTGTTGTGGGTTTGGGCAAGAATAAATTGACATTAATGGAATTGAACCAAAGCAAAAAGCAGATCAGGGAAAGTTGTGAAATCCATGAAGCTGAGTGAAGTCCATGTTACAGAACCAGTCTCTCCAATGTCTTTATCTTTTCTGATGAGATTTTAAACGCTCCATTGTTTGGTGTTTTTGTTTGTGTGCATTTTAAGAACTACTATAAGTTGATCTAAGGCATCACAGCGTTGGACAAACAGTGATTTCGAAGGCGCTCAGATAACAGCTGAAGCCGTGGGACGAGCGCTCGTTAGAAAGTGAATAATTATGTATCGTTTTGCGGAGTCTAAATGGTGGCGTGGTGGAGACAGACGTGGACTGAGGTCGCAGCTAGACAAACAGGACGTCCCAGTGAGTTCAGCTATCGCACACACAGCAGAAAACAGAAGGATGTTTGAGTTTTATAGATGGATGTGCAAGTTTAGACAAGATTCAGTCAATGTTTCAATCAGTGACAAATGCCATGAGATTTAGTTGAGCAGAAAACGTATGTATTTCTAGCCTGAGGTTTGAGAGCAATTTCAGTTTTGCTTTGACTGGCCACAAATGAAATATGAAAGCTACAATTTATTCATCTAAATCTGAGAGTGATCATTTGTTTCTGTTTGTTTGTCAAAGTCGAAGAAGGCTTGAGTGGACCAATGTGCAGATAATTTGTTTTTTATGAAATTATATCAAATTACTTCAAGAAATTACATGACATGATCATAGACCAATATCAACAGACGTAGTGAGTCCTATTTCTTCCATTGAAATGTATGTGTGATCAACATGGACCTTTTCAAAATGGCTGCGAGTAGACCCTAATGCAGGAAAATTGTGAAAAAATGCTTTTGTGCATATGTTAGTGGCACACGCCTGACACATGGCTGAGAAAACAAAATGAGAAATTTGGCTGGTCAAACAAAAATACTCCCCTCAGCAATTGATGCGCATCTGGAACTTAGCGTTGAGCCAAGAGCCGACTTTTTGACAAAACTATTGATGTGACATTGACAAAGAAGAGAAGTATACGGTTCCCATTTTACTGTATAGCCCATCAACTCCCACTCATAACACATTGGCTAATCATGGTATTCAGTGAAACTCAGCATCTGCATCTTCTATCGGACTCAACCCTGTTTTACACATTTAATTTTACCCCTCGGCCTCATGGGAGACAGACTGTGGCCTGTATGAGACAGGAGGTTAACGAGCCCATTGTTCCACCACATTTACTAAATAAAACTTCTCGCTGACTCTGACCACGTATTACCCCAAACACTGTTATTATGTGATTATGACACTTAGCGGCTCCGTGGAATCTGTCGCCCAAACAAGTGCAGAGGCTGAAGCTTTAGCGACGGACCATAGAGCCTGTATTTTTAATGGGACAAGAGACGTCTGCATGTATACTGAGGCAAGAGACGTCTTCATGTATACTGAGGCAAGAGACGTCTTCATGTATACTGAGGCAAGAGAGGTCTGCATGTATACTGAGACTAGAGAGGTTTGCATGTATACTGAGACAAGAGAGGTCTGCATGTATACTGAGGCAAGAGACGTCTGCATGTATACTGAGACAAGAGAGGTCTGCATGTATACTGAGGCAAGAGAGGTCTGCATGTATACTGAGACAAGAGAGGTCTGCATGTATACTGAGACTAGAGAGGTTTGCATGTATACTGAGACAAGAGAGGTCTGCATGTATACTGAGGCAAGAGACGTCTGCATGTATACTGAGACAAGAGAGGTCTGCATGTATACTGAGGCAAGAGACGTCTGCATGTATACTGAGACAAGAGAGGTCTTCATGTATACTGAGGCAAGAGAGGTCTGCATGTATACTGAGGCAAGAGACGTCTCCATGTATACTGAGGCAAGAGAGGTCTGCATGTATACTGAGACAAGAGAGGTCTGCATGTATACTGAGACAAGAGAGGTCTGCATCTATACTGAGACAAGAGAGGTCTGCATGTATACTGAGGCAAGAGAGGTCTGCATGTATACTGAGGCAAGAGAGGTCTGCATGTATACTGAGGCAAGAGACGTCTCCATGTATACTGAGGCAAGAGAGGTCTGCATGTATACTGAGACAAGAGAGGTCTGCAAGTATACTGAGGCAAGGGAGGTCTGCATGTATACTGAGGCAAGAGAGGTCTGCATGTATACTAAGGCAAGGGAGGTCTGCATGTATACTGAGACAAGAGACGTCTGCATGTATACTGAGGCAAGAGAGGTCTGCATGTATACTGAGACAAGAGAGGTCTGCATGTATACTGAGACAAGAGAGGTCTGCATCTATACTGAGGCAAGGGAGGTCTGCATGTATACTGAGACAAGAGAGGTCTGCATCTATACTGAGGCAAGGGAGGTCTGCATGTATACTGAGGCAAGAGAGGTCTGCATGTATACTGAGACAAGAGAGGTCTGCATGTATACTGAGGCAAGAGAGGTCTGCATGTATACTGAGACAAGAGAGGTCTGCATGTATACTGAGGCAAGAGAGGTCTGCATGTATACTGAGACTAGAGAGGTTTGCATGTATACTGAGACAAGAGAGGTCTGCATGTATACTGAGACAAGAGAGGTCTGCATGTATACTGAGACTAGAGAGGTTTGCATGTATACTGAGACAAGAGAGGTCTGCATGTATACTGAGACAAGAGAGGTCTGCATGTATACTGAGACAAGAGAGGTCTGCATGTATACTGAGGCAAGAGAGGTCTGCATGTATACTGAGGCAAGAGAGAGAGATCTGGGACTGATGTGATTTGGTTTTTCCTCCGATGACGAGTGATAAATGTGTCGTTCTTTCAGTCCTTGCCAAACCAGTCCAGTGTCTTCATCTCAGCAGAGACCGTGGCTGCTGTGAATTAGCCTCAGTCGTAAAACTCCAGAGAACACATGTTGTCTCTTGGTTTACTGCGGTGGGAAAAAAGTATTAAAGCTGATTGTGGAACGCACATGCTGTTTATTCAATGGTAATATGGAGATTAAGAATACAAGATTTACTGCATTGGGTTAACACAAGGACTGGGGCAGGGCCTGGTTAGTGCTGTGATGGGAGACCTCTGAAAGACCAGGTGCCAGCCCCAGGGCATCTGTGGCTAAGTAGTAGTTTATCATCACCATGTATGGAGTGAATTCATAATGACATGTGAAGCGTCTTTGAACCATATGCGGTCCAATTCTCCCCAATATCTATTATACTCTACCCTAAACTTGCTATGCTAAATTCATAGACTGTACATAGAGTGAATGCTAACCGCTAACCCACTAACTCAATTAAGCAAACAGGGAAGCGCTAATGGATGAAGTTTTGTTCCAACTTTCTCTAGCTCATGAGGGTCCAAAAAAGCATTGTATAAAACCAATACAAAATTATTTTTATTAATTATCTCGCATTAAAGTAAAAACTATTTGAACTGGAGAAATTGAGATCTGTCAATATGGAGGGCCCCCAGATCGACCCCAGCCCTCATACATGGATTATCCCAAAGGCCTAAGAAAGAATCAAACCAGGTCAGGGTTTTCCCCTTCACACCCGTCCACCGATCTCTCATTCCGATATCAGCCCATCTCCCGTTTGTCGATTCCATTCTCTGCAAATCCGCCGTTGTCGTCCCCTCTGTTTTTTTCGGGTGGCTCTGATCCGATAGCATTGACTCCAGGAATCACTCCATCTCGCTTGGCAAGTTCCCACACGCCGGCCACAAAAAGAGGACCGAAAAAGCCTTGTCAAACCACAAAAGAAAAAAATAGTCTCTGCTCCAAAAGCCACAAGAACACTTATCTTCCACCCTGGCCCAAACAATCCAGTGCTCCACCCTCTCCCAGCTCCACAGTTTTTTGTTCTTCTCAGATGCAGGCTGGATCAGGGAGAGGATATTGTCTTGCTCTCGCCGGAAACCCATGCGGAATTGAAAAGTGCCAGTTTACGGACAAAGTTTTCTCAAAAATTGTGAGAATGAATGAATGCAGATAAGTGTAAAGGCCAGACTAAACAACTGTGTGTTTAACAAAGGAGCGACGTGGAGAAAGGCACGGGTTCAGTTTGCAGAGTGACTTGGGGTCAAAGGCGGCGACTGATGCAGAATATCATGAAATGAGTGACCTCTGAAAACCTGGTAAAAATCTCACTTTCGGCCAAAGACCAGGCCATTGGAATCGTGTTTAACTAATCTAATACACTTTCTCACTTCTCTCTCATTGGGAATGGATCAACAAAGTATCTGTCTATCTAACCTCCACTATCCAGGTCATTCTAACCCACTGTGCATTGAAATCAAATAACTTAAGCTGCAGGACTTTAAAACTGTAAACAAAAACAAATAATCAGGGCATTTGCAATCTCTGCACCTTCTTCACAAAACTTGTTTCATGATAGAGCATGGTTACACAAAAAATTATGTGCCAAAACCACAGACTGTATATGATGACATAGCAACAAGAGGAAAGGAGCACAGGTACATAGACAGAGAGAGACAGGTGCAACTTAATGTACAGTACAGATGAGTGTCCTTTCTTTTCATGACTATTGACTGTAGATTCACACCAGGCTGTGTAAGGGCTATTTGACCAATAAGGAGAGTGATGGTGCTGGGCTAGATGACCTGGCCTCCACAGTCACCGGAACTGAACCCAATCCAGATGGAGTGAAGACGAAAAGGGCCAACAAGTGCTAAGCATCTCTGGGACCTCTTTAAAGACTGCCGGAAGACCATTTCAGGTCACTACCTCTTGAAGCTCATCAAGAGAACCTAGAATATAAGACATATTTTCAGTTGTTTCATACTTTTTAATAGTACGTACATAATTCCACATGAGTTAATTCATAGTTTTGATGCCTTCAGAGTGAATCTACAATTTTCATAATCATGATAAAAATAAATAATAATAAATGAATAAAAAAACTCCAATGAGAAGGTGTGTCGAAACGTTTGGTCTGTACTGTACGTGGAGCAGACTATTAACTGGGAAACAAGAAAAACCACATACTGTAGAAATAAGTCAAAATAAAACCTAGTAAAATAACACAAAATTCACACCATGATATTTGGTCCATAAGGGGCAGATGACCAATGTCCATTAAAGTAAGTAAAGTTCATAAAAGTTGTTGAATGTTGAGTGTCCCGGATCATCACACCTGCCTTAGACTCAGAAGAACAATTCTTAAAAACCCAATGAGAGAAAAGTGAGAAACCTCTGAGAGACGGTCTATATACTGTACGTCTCCTTTAATACTGTAAGATAATTCATTGGCTAAAGCTCAAGACAAAGCAACAGCAGCATCATTCTAAGCCCGCGACCTCTTTGACCACGGCCCCCCACGGCCACACAGAGCCGGCTGCCCAAACCAATTAGCCCAGCCGCTTCCAGTCCCACCACAACCGGGACCACAGGGACGTTCACAGGGACGTTCACCAGCCCTCAACCCCAGCTCCAGTGTGGATCTGGGGCTCTTCATGCTGAGCCCTGCCCACACATGGCACGCCAAAAGCATCCAACATGTGTTATTAGGAGTCGCACAGACATTTATGTGGCCTCCAAGTTCAACCGAGAAACGCTTTAATGAATACAGCCACAGACTTGGTAAATGCAGGCTTTGTCACTGTAGTGTTTTCTCCCTTTCCATCTCCAGATAGTTAATATGTACGTGACGGTCCACAAGTTATTCTGATGACAGTTTTGACCAAGTTTGACACAGACATTTCACCCAAAAGTTGCTTCTCTCTCATTTCCCAAACCCAAAAAACCGAACGTTCATTCTGTGTCTGACATTACACATACTCAGTTTATGTAGTTTGCTTGTAATTACCAAATTTGACACATTCCGAAGTTGAAGTATCTTGTCTCTTTTCACAGTTGTATGTTGAGGGATTGAGACCGGTAATGCTGTAATGGATTACTTTTTGCTGTAACGCAGTAATGTAAGAAATAATCGCATGGTCACCCACAAGCACCACAAAAAGCTTTCGTGAAGCATGTAAATAATGTTGTGAGCCAGTCTTTTGACCCCGCTCCTTTGCTCAGCAGTTGGTGTTTGCAAAAGAGGAGAGACATGCAGACTGTGCGATATGTGAGAGTTTTGATCTTTAAAGCGTCCAAAAGAGTCAATTTTCACAGAGATATGAGCTGCTCGAGAGTCAGGTTTGTGAAGCAGGAAGACACTTGTCAATGAGTGCGGAAAATATATGCGCAAAGAGTGATGCTCCGCGTTTTAAAAACGTTTCAATCAATATTTTAAAACATCTAAGAATGATGCATTTCCATCGGGTTCAATTAATGTGATTTAGTTGTGAGAGCCTTGTTCTGTCTCTGCGTCAGTCCCAGTGACAGCCGCACATTAGCAGCGTTGGCTAGGCGTCGGTGAGGCATGGTAAGACGTTGGCACACAAAACTTCTCATGTTCTTCTTTGTTTCTCTGTTTCTCTGCATCTTTCTCTGGTAAAGGTCTTAAGCCTGACTGTCTTATGCTACTATCACCTCATGCTATTGTCTCTTAAAGCTGCACTAACTGACTTTATTTTTGTATTCATTATGAAAATGCTATCCATGTCCATGCAGTGCATTGGGATATACGTCCTTTTGAGGAAAAAGTAGCGCAGATTTGTGCTGGCGTAACATTATATTTTAGATTGAGTTTTGATGAAACAAGGAAGAGAATGTGTTTCAGTACTCTGATTGTGACCAATCACAGCGGACCACTGGCCCCCACTTTCGTGAGAAATTTACATGTCCGTTAGCACAGACAGCTGAGTTAGCACAACAAGCCGAGGAGCTAACCTGAAGCTTCCTCGTCTTTGTCACCGGTTACTGCTTACACAGCAAAAACAGCCATCCAAAAGAAAGTCTCGTTCCTCTATCGTTCTATGGTCACGCCATCCACGTGCAAATCCATATGCATGTATTATCCATATTGGGAGACGCTAGCTCCGTCATCAACAGTGTGGGGGGCGAGGGAGTCCGCGGCTTCAAAATCCCAAAGTCATGTTAGTGCAGCTTTAATGCTACTTAGGGTGACCACCTGCTAATAAGCCCAAGGGGGGGACAAGGGGTATGTTTCCGAGGGACAATGTGGGACACTGCCTGGTGCGGCGGTGCCCCCACCCACGGGCAGACTCACTGCCCTGATTCTAGCCCATACCAGCTTACATGGTATATTAATAATGCCCTATTCCCCTAAACATGCGTAATTGCTGATTTATGCTCATGAATAGGGAAACCAATGTGTATTTTCTTCTAAATAGATTCATCATATTTTGAACATTGAATTGAATGAATTGACAGATGCATTTCCACTTAAGTTTTACTTGAGCTATCTAATAATCATAACAATTTATTCACTTGAATTATAATGAATTATAACATGAATTGATAGGATTAACAGGAATTGTAGTTGCTCAACACAACAGGAACAGTTGAAAAAAAAGTCAACTCACAACTCCAGAGGTTCACGGAACGAGAAGGGGGAGGAAGGATGGTGAACTTGCATGTTAGTAAAGGCAGGCGCAGCCGTGCAGAGGGAAAAACTGTTCAGTGTTCTAGGGACACCTTTAAGACTTTGGGGACATCTTTGGGACTTAAACCTTTTCACCAGCATCTGAATCAAATAAGGAAGAAATATAAGAGACAGAATTAAAGCAACATTCATTTTATGATAAGCTTCCGAATGGAGATACAATCCTATAGAAAACAATGACATATTGACCTAAAAGGCTACTGTTTCCAAAAAGTGACACATTTGCACCACTGTAGACACTCCACCAATGTTCAAAATCAATCAAACTTCATGGGGTCTTACATAACTAGGTTTCTTACCTTCAGGTTTCTTCTTAAACTTGTATTTCTTGTTGGAGCGTACAGCATTGAGGACAACCTTCTCTTTCACTACGTAAGTGTAGAAGTCCTTGCAACTGAATGTGAAGTTGCTCTTCACCTGGATTTCTGACTTGATGAGGTTTACCGAACATCTGTTCCTTGTGTCCGTCCAGCATCCTGTCATCAGTGAAAATACCCTCTCCACTGAAGCATTGGTGATTGGTACACTCAAGAGGAAAGAAGCAAAAGCTGTCATGTTTGGTGTGTGTGTGTGCTTGAGTAAGGTGGACCACTTCTCCACCACTGGAGCTCCAGACTGCACAATGGCCTGTTGGTGTGGCAGAACAACACAATACTCATCATATAGCGCATCCATGTCCAACTTCTTGCTTAGTTGCAGGACCTCTACAGCTTCACAGAGATGGGAGAAGTTGAATGGGCTCTTTAGTGCCAGGCTAGCCACTTTCTTCTGGTAGTTGGAGTCTGAGAAGTCATAGCGCTGCTCCAAGTAGGTGAGAGAGGACTGGTAGAAGTTGCACATGTCCTCTCTGAGCACAGCTGCCTGTCTGTCTGGAAACTGCTGGAGGAGTACACCCGTCTGGGCTCCTAAGAAACCATCACTCTGTCGTTGCTGTAGCTTGGTTTTTAGGGTGAACATCATATCGTAGAGCTCACAGACAGTACCATCTTCTCGCTCCAGCACCAGCACAGTGTCGTGGAAAATCTTGAGCGCATTGCTGAGGAAGGACAGGTAAACCTAAAAGAAGTAAGGAGAGTCAATGATCCTGTGTGCTGGCACTGGTTGCATTATCATAATTTCTCTAATCCATGTTCCATGTAATAATATGTAGATTAAAAAAAGTTGAGTGCAATTAAAATTAAGTACCTGTAGATCAAGGGGGTTGCCCTCACCATCCTGGTCATCCTTGAACAGCCGCCATAGTGACTTTGGGCACTGGTCCTCTCCCAGTGAGAGAAAGTATGTAGGAGCCCAGTGTCTCTTCACTGCAGGCCACAAGCTCAGCCATCTTGTGGGCACATGTCTAAGCAGGGACTGGTACTCTATCTCCACAAAGGTGTGAATTGACTTAAGCTCCTCAATGCGTTTCGCAGATGAGGAGAAGTGGCTAAAGGTCTTGTTGACAACATTTTCAATGTCGATATTTAGCCGATCTCCTGCGTGTTTTGCACTGTTGTGAACGATGTGGGCCACACAGTTTGCTTTCAAAATGCAATTGTTGTTCTCTTTCAGTTTCTGGAAGACTGAGTTGTATCTCCCGTAATTCACACTAGCGTTGTCAGCGGAATACGCAGATATCATGTGTAGTCCCAGTCCGTGTTCCTCCAACTTGGTGACTATCTGGTTGTGGATTGCAGCAGATGTTTCATCACTGTCATCATAGAAATCAAGGACCTTCGTCTGTGCTCCCAAGTCTGGCGTCCAGTAACGCACTGACAGTGGAAAGAGCTTGGTGGTCCCATGATTGGAGGCATCTGAAGCCACTGAGAAGAATGGTGTGTGGGCTATGGACACACACACAGATGGAATGAACTTAAGAAAGATTTTATAAAAACAGATTATTAAAAATATAAGATACCACTTTACTGTTTTGATTATTTTTGATTTTATATCAATATTATCTATAGAAATATGTATACCCTTTTAAAAATTAAATTTGCTTTTATTTGTTTAGTTAACGAATAGTGAAATGTTGCTCATAATCATGTAAGGGCGACGGTGGCGCAGAGAGTAGAGCGGGTCGTCTTGTGACCAAAGGGTCGGTAAAATTGGCTTTTAACATAGAAGATGATTAGCTAACATTAGCTAGTTAATGTTAGACAAATAGCTAACACACAACAATGTGCATGAACATAACGTTTACTTTACCTTTGTTTGAGGCCTCTCGTTGCTCATTCAGTGGTCTTTTGAGGACTTTCAAGCAATCTTCGACAGAGGCAGGAGCAAGCACATCCGTGACAATGGCTTCTGCCTTCGTCCGACCACAGGCCATCCTCTTGGCAATGTCCGAGTCCAGATAAATCGTTGGGGCTAGCTTTGTGCCACAATCTCCTGCTCTATATGATGCAGCGTGTTGGACAGTGTGATACACATTCGTCACCTCTGCAGCAGTCACTTTGTCAGCTAGAAAGTCGTTTTTAGGTCGGAGAAAAGCATCCATAGATTTGGATGTCTCTTTCTGTTGGATACGTTTCTTGTGAGTCCCCGTGAGTCTGTGTCGTTTGACATCGTATTCCCCTCCATGTCCGATGGAAAAGGACGTTTTACAAAAGTCACAAAAAGCCCTCTCAGTATCCCCCTCAACACATTTCAGCCACAAATATTCATTTTCCCAGTCTTTGTTGTACCCACACCTTCTCTTTTTAATTGATGATGGCGCTGCCTCAGACTGAGTCTCTTTCTCCATTTTTCTAATTGGAAAGCGGCGAGCGCTCGCATCCCAGTGTGTCTAGTGTCTAGTCGGAAGTTTAACTGAGGGGTGGGTGGGGCAGTAGCGTGTTGAACTGTCAAGTAATGTTTGTTTGGCTGCCTGCAGCTCGAGGATATAGCGAGACCAATTTTGTTATTGTTGTTGCAAGCATTGATTAATGATTATGCGTGACACAGTCTCAATTTGCGGGACGCATGAATTGGGCTTCAAACGCTGTGCGCGCACGCGCTACGCGGGACGGGTGGTCACCCTAATGCTACTGTCTCCTTATGCTACTATGCAAAAGGATCTTGTTTTAAAAGGATACAAGAATGAGAAAATAAAGCAACAGTTCTTGAAAAAAGACTAATTGGCTTTATCCCAATAGAGAATCTTGTTAGACAGTCAGAATGTGCTCGGATTAAGATAAAAAAGAAAAGAAAACACTTACAGCAATTATTACCTCATAAAAAAAACATATTTTTTTCTTGATGTCTCTCATCATATCTGAAGTACACTTTTATTCTCAATATCAACACAAACTGAACAAACCACTGGAATGTTTTTGATCACATCCCCACCACCCACACTCACAAACACCATGTTAAATAACTTAATTAGGCCTCTTTAAATTTAGACTGTGGTCTTGAGAGTGAAAGCCGACCCCAAATCGTCCACATGAAGCATTAAGTGTCGATGAGTTTGCGTGCGGCGACAGAACTACTTTATTCCACTCTTTGATTCCTTCACTGCAATAAAATGATAAAATACGAGGTAATAAATGCCTAAGTCCGTATTCCTGGGTCCTGTGTGGAAGTTTGGTTCCACTGACCGCCATATGTCTGTGTCTGGCTAAGCTAACTGTTAGCTGTTTGTGCCACTGTTCTTTTCACTGATTGTTGCCTGTAGCCCTGTGACTGCACTTCGGTCGGTGCCGTGACTTTACATGTGTTAATTGTTTTCACTATTCGCCGTGACATTGTGCTCAGTAGTTTTCTGTTGTCATTGCCGCTTCGGCTTGACATTTACGGTATTAGCATTTGCTACGCTAATCCGCCTCGGCCTTGATTGCAGTTATTTGCCATCACTATGTTTTGTTGGTACCTTATACCACTTGGTGTTGATTGTGCGCCTGTTTAGTGGCTTGCTAGTGACGTCTCTGCTTGACACAACCCGGCTACATTGCCCTTGATTTCAGTCCAGTGTTGCATTTGTTTTTAGCGGGTTACTAGCGGCGTTTCTACTCGACCTAACCCTGTTTTATTGTTGGATATATATTGCTGCTGTGACTGGTGTGTCGTTGGACACACCACGGCACCACTCGAGGTGAGGTTCTGGTTGGTTTCCTCATGACCTTGCTCTGGAAGGATGGAGTAGCACGAAAGTATGCGCCCGGTGTAACAGGCCATATTATACCCCGGGTATGACATATCCTAGGCCAGAATAATCCCCGGGGTATAAAATGGCCTAGGCTTCTTTATACCCGGGTATATTCTGGTGGGGAGTTAAACTGGCCTGCTAGTTCCTTGGTATCCTTGTGCAAGAACAGTTCAAGGGACTGTGCTTCAGGAGTCACACGTGACTTTGTTGTTATGTGACTCTCGACATCCAGGATTCATATAACCGTAGTTACAGTCGCAACTTTCACTTGTAATTGGACTTTGGTTTACCTATTTATGGTTTATTTATCATTAAATCATATTTTTTTACATTCTTGCATTTTGATTCCTTGCTTTATCTCACCTCTACAAAAGTGACCATAATTGCTTAAATTGAGTGGTTTTTTTTCTTAATCTGAGCACATTCTGATTGTGTTAAAACAAGATTCTCTGGTGGGACAAAGCCTTATATAACGCCTAATTTCAAGAATGGTTGCTTTTTTTCTCATTACAAGGGAGACATTTCTTCCTAAATCAAGATCAGTCAGATTAAGCTCAAATTAAGATACATTTTGCCAATTTTTACTTTACATGTTGCTCACTTCTCACTTTTTGCAGTATTCGCTGCTTTATGTCATTGCAGCATGACTCAAACACGTTACAAGTTGTTTTGCTTGAGGAGCTTTTGTCCCGATCTCTTCAAAGTCACTGGAAAACCTAAACAACGCAGCAATGAGAAAATAATACTGTTTGTGACTTTCGCCGGCTCCTTCTGACGACTTTTATGATCTCAAACGCCTGGGTGTGATGCTGAAAATGACCTCTTTTTTCTTTGGTTCAACTTTACGTCTGAGGCTCCTCTCATGTGAAGCCAGTGCTGTTTATTAAATATGCTAAAATGAGTCCAGTTGGTTATTATTAGCTTTTATTGCAGCTCGGAAACAGACATTTTTTGATGTTTTGAAAATAGCATTGTTGCCACAAAGTTTCCAAAGCTTAATGGAATTCTATTTTCAAACCATAAAATAAGTGTTGAGGCGTTTAGGACGGTTTGAAAGAGGAAAATAATCATTTGTTGCATTTCACGTTATCTGCAAATAACGTGAACAGATGAACTGTGACACTGTGATGAAAATTGTCAAAAATTTGGTTTTATTTTAGCACATTCTGACTGCCTTAAAACAATATCTGTCAATGTCAATCCATCCATCCATTTTCTTCCCCTTAATCCATTTCTGGGTCGGGGGGGTGGCAGTCAGAGCTGCACCCAGTTCACAGAGCACCAGCCCCTCACTGATCTTCCTGCAGGTGGTGAGTCCACAGGACCTGAGATCTTTCAGTGGGGGCTTCAGGCAAAGTGGGGTTAAGTGTCTTGCCCAAAGACACAACGACAGCAGTCATCCGTGGGAGTCGTGAAGTAGGTCTTACGGTGGGCTCGAACCCACGACCTTCAGGCCCAAAGGCCAATGCTCTACCAACTGAGCTACTGTCGCCCCATGTCAATATCTGACAAAGCAAAATGATCTTGTTTTAAAACAATACAATAAATGTCTTCTTGGTATGAGAAAAAATAGCAACAGTTCTTGAAATAAACTAAATTTCTTTGTCCCATTGGAAAGTCTTGTTTTAACACAGTCAGAATGTGCTCACATTGAGATAAAAAAAAACACTTGATTCTAGAAATTATTACCTCATATTTTATCATATTTTGTAATGTAATTGTTTAGCACAATTTTGTGTGAACCGTGTGTTCTGTGAACTGAACAAGGCAACACAAAGAGCTGAACAGAACAAGAGAATCACAGAACAGTTCTTGTTCTGGGAACAGCAGCGGGTCAAAGTCGCTCTGAAACATTGGTTTTGTTACAATCGTTAGTTTTCTTGCTCTTTCTACTGTATCTGTGAATGTCACAGATAGATGTCGTCTTGTTCTGTTCCATCATCAGTCCCACCTGCTGAGCTCCACCTGGTCTCACCTGCTGAGCTCCACCTGGTCTCACCAGCTGAGCTCCACCTGGTCTCACCTGCTGAGCTCCACACCTGGTCTCACCTGCTGAGCTCCACCTGGTCTCACCTGCTGAGTTCCACCTGGTCTCACCTGCTGAGCTCCACCTGGTCTCACCTGCTGAGCTCCACACCTGGTCTCACCTGCTGAGCTCCACACCTGGTCTCACCTGCTGAGCTCCACCTGGTCTCACCTGCTGAGTTCCACCTGGTCTCACCTGCTGAGCTGACACCTGGTCACCATTTCACCAATCACCAGATGTACAGTCCAGAGCCAGATGGTTCTTTCACACCAATGGCTCCAAGTGTTTTTATCCTTGCATTTCCTGTGTTTGATTCTTTGATCTGTGTCAGCGAATTCAACAGCTTTGTAGTCTTCTGAGAAAACTAAAGTTGTGATTTTGGGCGATACACCAATACATTACATTTAATAGAAATAAATCCAGCTCATGGAGAGTATAGAGCTGTTCCCCGGGGTGTCCTTTGGGGGGTTCACCGGGAGTACGGGGTCCGGGGTCCTCTGCTGAGGGCTGTTCGGTCCCTGTATGACCGGAGCCAGAGCTGTGTTCGCATTGCAGGCAGTAAGTCAGACCTGTTCCCGGTGCATGTTGGCCTCCGCCAGGGCTGCCCTTTGTCACCGGTTCTGTTCACTGTGTTTATGGACAGAATTTCTAGGCGCAGCCAGGGGTCAGAGGCAGGGCTGGACTGGCCATCGGGCGTACCGGGCAATGCCCGAAGGGCCGATGCCCATATTTGGGCCGGTCTGTTTGCCTCATACAAAAATTTTTTTTTGTGAAAAGTGTAAATCCGTTGAGAACTGTTCGAGGGGGCGCGCGTGTCCGCGGGGCACCTGCTGTACAGTATGTACTAAAACGGGATTCTACCACCTCAGCGGCCGCAGTGTTCCCGCATCCAGCGGCTCTGAGCTGGACGCAGGAACCGCTCACCGGGAGCCGCTCACAACACAACACGGTGAGCGGGTAGCCGCAACGTGACCATATACCCAAGACCATAAACGTGCACAGGACCATGCATGTCTTTGCGTAATTTGTGCACCCAATAAATACACCGCTGCAGGAAAAAGTCCGCGTCTCCCCTCTCCTCTCGAAGTGCGACTAAATTAAAGCTCGGGTACCTAAATTTTCCATTGCATTAAAAGTTCATGTTTGAGCCCAAAAGTAAAATGTTGTGAACAAATTA